CCATTCCCATGCCTTAGACAACTGACCAGTGTCCACCATGATTCTTAGCAGTTTGGCAGGTATGTTTCATCAGGGTCCTAAGGCCATATCAGGGGCTCTCATGCATTTTAAGATTAGAATGTTAAGAGCACAAATGACAGTAGTTACACAGGAGTTGACATGATGGATGACAGTCTAGTCTGAAGCCCTAATGGCTTCTTTCCTGAAGCCTATATCTCCTTCTTTTGTGAGGAACAGTTTTGTTCTGTAGGTCAGCTCAGCCTCCTCAAGAACCTGACCCTCATTCTGTGTCTCTTAGAAGAAAGAGAATTAAAAGGAGTGAAATGGGTGGTTGTGTTTATGTATTTAATAGATTCTACTATGTGCTAGACCTTGCACTAGGCACTTACATGGATGTTATAGCTGGTTTCAAAGCCAGATTTTTAGATGCTTCCTCTATACACACACACACACACACACACTGAAATCACACAAATTAAACTTAAAACCAGTTTTAATCTACTGAGAATCTGCTTCCGTTTCCATTTTCTACTCTGCAACTTTTTTTTTCCCCTTAAGTCTGCCTTTGTAATTTAAATCAAATCACCACCATCTGGTAGAAATAGTTTATTTAGAAGGTACAACTGACTTGACCATGAACTATCTCTTGAGGATTTCGAAACCACACAGGATGAGTCCCATTAGATCTTTGTCTATCCAGAGATAAATCCTTTGTATTTTATTACAGGCAATCATTACATGGGAAATAAAGCACAGTTATCATTTCACACTACGTCAACTTATTTTCTTGGTTAGCACCATGAGGTCAAGGAAAGAATCACAGTGACTCTTAAAGTGTACAGGGCATACTGGCCTGAGAAGCTCTATGGATGGCTCATTTCTTGGTTCCCTTCTGGAAGACCACTTGCTATCCAGAGAGGATTTGGACTGACTCACTGGAACTTGAACTTGCATTTTTAGAGTCCTTTCTTACTCTTTGACACCTAACTGGTGCACAGGCAGGGCAGGATTGGCATGTGGAAGACACCGGCACAGAGTGAGTCAGCTAGACAGACCTCAAGCAACTCAATAGCAGCCTTGCTGTTGCCTTCATTTTTTCTCTGCTGGCTGAAGATTAGAATTGCTTAATGATGCTGTGATCTCTTAACCATCTTTGTGTTTATAGATAATTGTCCTGCTTGAAAAGTTGGAGAAGTTAGAAATATAGATAATCCAACCAGGAATGTTGGGACAAAGGTGTTTGTGGGTCTTAGAAGCAAATGATAACGATTCCCCCCAAATAAATTCTTAGGTATTAATTTCTTGGGATAGTTTCATCATTGATGAACTCTGTGAATCCTATTTTCTGCTCTTTTCTGGGGACTGTGCTTGGTTTGGTGTTTTGGATTTGGTACCCTTAATGTACACTATCTTTTTGTTCAGAGCATTTACCAAAAGTGTTATCATTTCTCTTATATAGTGGAAAGTATTTATGGTATGTGTGGGCTTCAGATGGAAAAAAGTGCATTCCGTGACTTACACTGTATAGCTCAGTACTTTGCTCATCTGGGTCACTTATTTGGCACCTGTAGGTACTCGATTTTGGAGTCTATATTCTACTCTCCATAGCGCCACTGGTCTCAGGACTGGAGTCCTAACTTACATTATCTACTGTGTGATGATAGACACTTAATGTTAGTTACTCAATCTCTCTATACATGTGTTTTCCTATCTCTAGGATGGAGGTGTGAATAATACCTAGTTCCTCATGCTGCCTCGAAGGTTAAATGTGGTAACCTGTCTAATGTGCTTAACTTAGTGTTTAGCTCCATAGTAAGATCCTTATAAAGATTGGTCATTATTTACCACACTTCCAATGAACCACTATTTTTTTCTGAAAGTGATATGCAACAAAAATCTGAATGGGAAACAGTTTAAATCATGAGCCATACCACTGGAATCACAATTCCGTCGTGATGAGCAACAGAGTGGCTCTGACCTTAGACTGAGGAGACTCTAGTCAACCTCTGACAGTATGAGAGTTGTCTGAGTTTGAGTTTCTGTTGCTGTGAAGAGACACCACGACCATGGCAACTCTCACAAAGGAAACATTTAATTGGGCTTCCTTACAGTTTCAGAGGTTTAGTCTATTATCACCATGGCGGGAAACACGGCAGCACGCAGGCAGACCTGATGCTGGAGCTGAGAGTTCTACATCTTGAGTTGCAGGCAGCAAGGAGAGACTGTGTTCCACCCTGGGCATAGCTTGAGCATATAAGACCTCAAAGCCTGCCCCACAATGATGCACGTCCCCTAACAAGGTCACATGTCCTAATAGTGCCACTCCCTATGGCCAAGCACTCCAACACATGAATCCTATTCAAACCACCAAATTTGCTCAAATCATGAGAAAAAAATTTAAACCTCATTTTGATTCTCTTTCTTGATTCAAAAAGTGAAACATGGCAATAGTAGTAGCATCATAATATTTTGGTGGTGGTGGGGTTCATGGGAGTTAATGAAAACAAATTCAAGAACAGCGCTTTGACAGCCTCACAAAGATAAATCCATGTTTTCCCTGAAATGTAGGGAATAAAGACATAAAAGTAAACAGAAGACTGTTAGGTATGTGGGATGGGAAAAGGGAGACTGGACAGAGGAATAAGCAAGCACAGCAGAAGCCATAGGTTCCTGTACCACTCAGACCTCAGCACAGACTCTCCTTGTGTAGTGGGCCGAGGTTAATGCAGAAAAAGAACAGAAAGTGTCTATGCAGTGCTCAGCCACAAATGGGACACATATACCATGCCCATGTCCCCCGAGGTACAGGGACCACTGTGGAAGTGGGGACAGAACGGCTGTATGAGTCAGGAGTCTGGGAGGGCCGGAGTGAAGCAGTGTCTTCTGGATATGACAGCACCACTGCTCTTCATCTCACCGCAGCTCTGGCTGCCTGCACAAGATCAAACTGGTCAATCTGCCAGTGTGGAGGGCAGGTGGCCTCCGGAGTCCCCATCCCTCCTACAGCTGAAGCACTGTTGGTAATTGCTGACTTCTAGAGGAAGGAAGGTTAGCTTTCTCCAAGGGCCATGGTAGGTTGAACAGGCTCCAGGGTAGGGTCCAATACCTATGAGTATATGAGCAGCACAAATTGGAGTCAACAGCTTGCTTTAGAGAGAGAGTGAGAGAGAGAGAGAGAGAGAGAACAAAACTTGGGGAGGCATTGGGGAGGTGAGAGGTGGATTTGGGAGGAGTTAGGGGAAGGAATGAGGGGTTAATTAATAAAAGAAAATCTTCAAAAGGTTGGGCAACTGAAGGATTTAATATGATCACATGTATAGAACTATCAGCATGGGTTACTTTCTGTGATTAATTACATAACGAATTACTTTATATAATGAATATATATGCAAAAACCAGTACTTGGCTCTTGCTGCATATCCAGTGGGCCTTACCTACAACTATCGCAAACGAGAGCCCCACCTGCTAAGTACATGTTTGCTCCTGGAGAGATGAGCACAGAATGTCTCAAGTTAGACTTTCATGAAAGTTTTGGGAAATCTGGGAGCTAAAGTCTTGCCTCTATTTCCCGCTTCCCCAGTTCCTTGAACTTTTGTTTCTGCTGTCTCCATTCCCTGGCAAAGCCTAAACATCATGTCACATTCAGTGGCTTTGACTCCTCATCCTTTACAGGTCATAAGACGTTCAGAGGTCAAGCACTCACCACCAGCTCCCAGCAGAGGGTGGGGCGTTCTGTGAGTGTCCTGGAGTCTGTGACAGACAGGAGTTACCCACTTCACTGGGTCATTTCTGTACCAAGTGATAGTGACTCTATTCTTATGCTGACAAATGGGGTGGGGAGCTTAAAACGGAACATATAGCCAGCGTGAGGATTTCTGTCTCCTCTGACATTTAGCATCCTCTGTAGAATAGACCTTGCCTCATAAGGCCCTGGGCCAGCCAATCCTTGAAGAAGGCTATTGTTTTCCTTGGTGGGGCCACACACTCTGTGTCCCTCCATAGCATTAAGACCTTGTTTCCTGGTGGGTGATGTTTTCCTTCCCCATGACTTGCCTTTCTGGAGCTGCGTTCCTATTTCCCTGCTGGCTCACTTGTTTCTTTGGGCTCGTTGCCTTGTTTGGCGGTTTGAAGCAAGAGCTCTGATAGATGCCAGGAGGTGAGAGGAAGGACTGAGAGGATGCAGTCATTGGACAAACAGACTCTGTGATGGATGAGCCTTCTCCCCCAGGGAATTTGGGTCAGGAACAGTCCAACTGATAAGTTCTTCCAGAACTGAGTAATTCAGAAACAATGCCAGGACAACCCTACCTCTTTTTTTGCATTGATTAAAGAAAAGGCTTAGCCGCAGCACATCTACCTAAAGACAGCGATGGCATCAATGGACTTGACCATGGATAGCACAAATTACTTTAGAAGTTACAGCCAAAGAGGAACACAGGAAGAAGGAAGAAGTCTTTCTAAGACCTCTGTCCAAATATTTTCTTTCTTCTAAGACTTAAACAAAGCACAATATAGCCATTTCTTTTTTCAAATGATCTCCTAGCTGTTTATGAGGGGAAATATCAAAAGCATATATTATTATTATTATTATTATTATTATTATTATTATCATCATCATCATCATCATCATCATTATTCGATAGATGCTTCTTCTGGCTTGATTCATGTCTCTGTCAGTCTTGTCAGGACTAAGGGACTCTGAGACAAAACTACATCCTAATCGTTATGTTGGTGTCAGAGCAATTCCTGTGCAGAAGGGGGCTACTGCAACCTCCTTTATTCCCCCCCCCCAGACGTCCTTGAGTCCTTGAGACGGATGTGAGCGGAGTTTTTCAGCCCTCATGCAAAACAACCATCTAAACATAACAGATGACATCAGCTTGGGCTTTTCAATTCCTGGATGGCAGCGGCGTGTTAATCCAGCCTTCATCCTGGATTTCATAAACTAGAACAAGAGGGGCTGGCAGGAGCGCAGCGCTTGCTGCTGGCTTGAGGAAATTGATGACGGGGAAGCATGCGGGCAACCCAGCGTATAAAACTCATAAACGTGTAGGCAGAAGCTCAGCTACTACTTTGGACGGCTGCTTCCCCGCCAGCAGAGACCACGACGGCAGAGAGCTGAGCCCGAGCCAGCCAGGAGACATGAAGAGCCTCTTGCTGCTGACCACGCTCCTGGTCCCTCTGCGCCTGGGCATGGCTTGGAGCGCCAAGTATGCGGTGGACTGCCCGGAACATTGTGGTAACAGCGAGTGCAGGAGCAGCCTGCGCTGCAAGAGGCCGGTGCTGGATGATTGTGGCTGTTGCCAGGTGTGCGCCGCGGGGCCCGGGGAGACCTGCTACCGGACGGTCTCAGGCGTGGACGGAGTCAAATGCGGTCCTGGGCTAAAGTGTCACTTTTACAGTGAGGAGGACGATTTTGGTGACGAGTTTGGTATCTGCAAAGGTAAAGAGCAACTCTTTTTTTTTTGCTTCCCACTGTGCAGGGCTCCCCGAGGGCGTTTAGTCAGCATGGGAGGTGCGGTCCTCCTCTGAACTACCGGGGAGGATGCAAGGATGCAGGCAGTGTGCTTGAGAGAGAGAGAGAGAGAGAGAGAGAGAGAGAGAGAGAGAGAGATAGATCTGCAGAGAGCATGCATGCAGGGATCACAGCCAGGGCTGCAGAACTCCGCTCACCGCGTTGAGACCCGAGAAAGAAAGTTGCAGTGGTAGCTTGCGTGGCTTCTTTTTTTCTGGGAGGCTTTGGAGACTAACAGGTAATCCGCTACAAATGGTTTAGGTGCCTTTTCCTCTGCAAGCCAATGATTACAGAGGTCTTCCCGAGATAACCTCTTAGCATGGTTTCTGGCCCCCAGATTTCCCCAGCCTTTGATCTTGAAAGAGCTAGTAGGGAGGAGTGCTGGGGCTCAAGCATTTCGGCTGAACGCTAATGCGCTTTATGGCATAGGGTGGACTTATGTCGGCCAGTGAAATAACTCACCCTCCTGCAAGAGGGTCCCCTGAAGTATAAAATAAACCTAAGTTTACTTTTGAAAATTTTCAGGTGAACAGAAAGTAGCAGATGTTGGTAAGACAAGCAGAAATAATAGTAACCTAGATGTCTGTTAAAAAAAAAAAGTGGCTCTTTTATAGATTTAAAGAAAAAATGAAATTATAATTAAGACAGAAACCAGACTTAAATGAGGCATTGATATGTCTGTGGAATTTATTCTCAAACCTAGTGAGTAAATTAATATTTTAACAGTATAAAAAATTTAAAAGGTTATTAAAATGTCTCCATAGAAAGATGCCATAAAATCTCATCATTACATGCTACGGTGACTAAAAGAATGCATTCATTGCTTCATCCAGTTGTATAATACAAAGAAGCTGTCAAAATCAGAAAACCAAGTTCTGAGAGGTTTCTAAATAACTCAGATTCTATGTGCTCAACACAATTACCTCCTTTCCTGAATGACAATCTTCCAGAATTGAGATAATCTCATTAATCTTCATATTAGAAAGCAGTCTGTAAATTAATCATCTTTGAGTCTGAAAAAAAAAAAACAGCAACAACAATGAAAGGTTCAAGAATAAATTCTTGAAAAAAATTGGAAATTTTTATTCTTTGCTTAGATTACTTTTGATAAAGACCGACAAGAAGCGGGCTACTAAGGAAATAATTTCTTCGGTGAATACACGTCCCTTTCAACTGAAAAGGCTCTGTTATTTTCTGGAAATTACAGGGCTTTGCCAAAAAAAGAGCACCTCACATAAGGAAATTAGGGAGGAAGTGGTTAGCACAGTCCTGTCTATTATACAGTGAGTGTATGTGGGGACTGCTTTTCCTTTGGCGTGAAAACACCTTTGTAAAAGTGGTTATGAATGGGAGGTGACAGGGGGTAAAGGATCCAGCCTTAGGCAGAGCTTAGTGAGCTGTGCTATTAACATTCTATTTTGAATTGCTTTTTCTGGCATTCTTCACATTGCTGTTGAGTTCAGTGTTGGACTGCTTTTTTGTTTTGTTTTGTTTTTCTGTTGGAAATAAATAGTGCATATTTGCTGCCTTACGAGTGTGGAGTCATTTCCTATTGCTGCAGGTGAATTCCCTCCTCCAGCCACACACTTCAGTTTATAATCCAGGTGTGTGTGTGTGCGTGTGTGTGTGTGTGTGTGTGTGTGTAACATTTAGAGGTTTGATCCCATATTGCTGGCCAGCAACTGGCCAGTCAATACCTACTTATGGAATGTTTACTATCTGGTCAGCACATCTGGACCTTGGACCTGGAACTGGGATGCAGGCTAAGGTTCTCGTTTTTCAGCTTCGCTGAATATATTCACATCCTAATCCTGTGTTTCTTTGCCAGAGGGTTCTTCCAGATCTGCCTTAAGAACTTTTGTTCCTAGGGAAAGGAGGGTGCATAAGAGCGGAGTCCTCTACCACTTGAGTGACAGGGAAATGAACAGTGCTAATTCTCTCCAAAAGACCCACTTGATGCACATCCGCCTTGATGGTTCAGTGCTTGGCTGCGTGGCTAAAACTCTCCAATGCCTCACAACTCGCCTTTATGCATACGTGATTGTGCAGCAAGCAAGGACATCTCCGTGCCAAAAGAACACATCTTTTGCCAGTGGTCCTCAACCTTCCTCATGCTGTGACCCTTTAGTATAGTTCCTCATGTTGTGGTGACCCCCAACCATAAAATTATTTTCACTGTTAGTTCACAGCTGTAATTTTGCTACTGTTATGAGTTGTTATATAAACACTTTTGGACAAGGCAGGGAGTTGCCAAAGGGGTCACGACCCACAGGTTGAGAAGCACTGTTCTGTGCAGCCTCTGCTGAGTTAACCTACGGAGATAGTGTCAAACATGCCACAAACCCCACTCTTTGAATACCTGACAGACCTCTTTACTTTCACTGAAGCGTGCTTAGTCTAAGTATTAAATAGCAAGGCTCTGAAAGTGCTCCCATTGTTGGTAGAGGTGCAAGCCCTCAGGTGTGTAAATCCTGAGGTTTCTCGCTTGCTCAGCATCTTATCTCCTCAGAGAGCTTGTTTAGTGAATCTCTCAGCAGCTGGGGAAATTAGGGAAGACCCAGGGTTGTTCTGAGAGATAAGGGATTCTATCAGTGTGGGAGCAGCCTGGGAACTAGCTATGTTGCGGTCAGGTGGGCTGCTGGGCCTCTTAGCCCTTTCAGATAGTAAATTTTCAACCACCCTAGATTAAGGACACGCTCACACCCATTAAACTAGTTGAGGAGGTAATGCTTACCTCTCTTTAACTCACAGCCTCACGGAGCTGTGACCAAGATCACCTGTGAGAGTCTGTGTCCACCATGCAGAAAACAGATAGCATTAAGACTGATTCAAGGGTACGGCTGGCAAGAAGCCTGGGGGGCAAAGGCATCAGCTGCCAACCCTGACAACAGGAGTGGGAGCCCCACAGGCCCACAGCAGAAGGGGAGAATCAACTCAACAAGTTGTGCTGTGACCTCCACACCTGTGTTGCGTACACACACACACACACACACACACACACGTAAGTACACATGCCTGGGTGCCTACACACCCTGAGTAAATAAATAAGAAAAGGGAGGAAGAAAAAGAAGAAGGAAGGAAGAGAGGGAAGGACTAATAAAAGATTGGTCTAAGGAGCTTGGTTACATGTAGCTAACTTTTCAGCTTCCAATCATGGTCTTAGTTAAGGCTGAGGCAGGGATTACCTGGTCTTACTTGTGGTTTCACATGTATGGTGTCAGCGTTCAAACCCTGGAGTTTTTGAGAAGTGATTTTCATTTCTCAGTTGAAGTCTAGGAGACCGCTTCCAATCCTAAGGCCATCCCCGCAGCGAGGGGTGGGGGCGGTTGGAGCCCCATGCTTACCGAACGGCCTTCTCTCTCCCTCAGACTGTCCCTTTGGCACTTTCGGGATGGAATGCAAAGAGACTTGCAATTGCCAGTCGGGCATATGTGACAGGGTGACCGGGAGATGTATGGAGTTTCCCTTCTTCCAGTATGCTGCAGCCAAGGCACCCAGCAGGACCTCTGCCTCCCACACAGGTAAGCTAAGCACTGACCTTGGTCTCAGTTCCAAGCACTGTTAGGAAAAAAAAAAAAACAAAAACCAAAACAGTGAGTAGAATAGGGTGTCGATTAAATGAGCTTGTTTCTTTGTTTACCACAGGGGAATGATGAGGGGTCCCTGAGTTTGGTTGCTGTTGCTATTTTCAAAACAAAATTCATTGATAATTCTGACAATACTATGGTTCCTCATAAAGTTTACCACATTTCAGTGAATTAACAAAAACAAATCTACCATAAAAAGCACCCAACCAAGGCATTCGAAGTTCTTTGAACTCTTTAGTGATCTGTTTTATAGATTCACTAGACAAAACTATTTCTCTCCCAACTCCACATTGAAAGAGAGCAATGAGGTATTTGTTGGATCAGCTTTAAGAGGCAAGATTAGAAAAAAGAAAAAAGAAAAAACATTTCTCTTTCTCCTGTTCCTCCTCTTCCTCCTTTTCCTGCTCTTCTCCTTTCCCTTCACTCCTCCCTCCTCCTTCTTCATCAAATGGAAGTAGTCAAAAGGAATAATTGTGTTTTCATGTAATTTGGAGCTGTTAAGAATTAACTCCCGTGGTGAGGTTCAGGAAATGATAAAACTGTAGCCTATAGGCTGCTGTGAGGCCCAGACTGTGCGATTGTGAGCACACTGCTGAAAGATGTTTTATGCATGCATTTTCTTATCTTGTTGGTAAATGGCCAGGCACATAGAACTCTATCAGGTTAAAAGTATCTCATTTAACACAACTGTACCAAAAGAAATCAATATGTAACATAACATCTGTCATTAAAGCTTATGCCTCCAGGGCACTGAATGGTGATGACAGCATGTTATATATTTCAAATTTGTTAAAAGAATAAATTTAAAATTGTATGGGGATAAGTATGTTAATTAGCTTAATTTAGTCATTTTACAGTGGACACAGATATCAAAGCATCATATGTATCTTTACAAAAATAAAGTAGTTTAAAACAACTTCACTCTTGGGGCTGGAGATGGCTCAGTGTTGCGTAGCCACCACATTTGTCTAGTTCCAGAAACTTTCGACTAGCTCAGTGCTCACTGCTTTCCCTATTCCTCACGTTCGTCCAACTACCCGGAAGCCATCGATGGAAACCGCCAATCTCTCAGGGCTGGAAGTGCTTTGAAGGAGTTGCTTACAAAAGAGACTTGAGGTCTATTTTCTCAGTCTACCTCCCCACCTCAAGCATATTCATCTTCTTATTTCCTCTTATTCTTTTAAAATTGAGTCAGAGTGTCACTATGTAACTTTGGGTGGCCTGGAACTTACTGTGTGGACCAGGCTGGCCTCAAACTGCCAGCAATACAGGCCTCTCCCTTTTGAATGCTGGGACGTAAGCATGTGCCAGCACACCTGGCACTTGTTTTGCTTTTCTTAAGAACATGTGTTACAAGAACTGTGAAGGGACAACTTTTTCCAACCTTCTTCCCTTATTTCAGGTTGCACCTGAATTTTCCTCCTAGGGCAGGTCTATGCTGTCTTTGTTCTGGTTGATTGATATTTGTGGTCTTGGAGACTGGAGCCAAGGCTCTGTGTATACTGAATGGGTGTTCTACCATTGAACTACATCTCCAGCGCTCTGTTGTGACCTTTTGATGATACCTGTGATGGAAAGTCTTAGAGGTTATGACGGCGGCTTGCAATAGTGTCCCTAATGAGGATTCTTGATGCCATACTTAAGTCCCTCCTGCTGTGGCCTGCCTGTTGGCAGCTTCCTTTTGGTTGTGTAGCCCCTTTCATATGAGACTGACACTCTTCCTAGTTTGCTTGCAAATGCTGCTGCTGTCTTGGATAGGATGGAGAAGCTATGGATAGGCTGCCCTGTTTGGCTGTGCCTTGTCTACCTGGGATTTGCCTCTTTGTCTACAAGAGTCAACAGTAAAAAGCGTGTGTCCTCAGTCATGCCACAGGCTTCACATTACCACCTCACAAATCCATCTGAGCCCACCCTTTGAGAATGGATGGAGTGACTCCTGGACCCACCATCATAGGTTCTCCCAACTGCATGGGGTCTTCTTCACACTACAACCCTGTTGCTGGTCACAGTTCCTACCCATCTCAGTTCCAAATTTGATTCTTTCCTTTCTGTCAGTGTCAAAGAATAGAAGGTCACGAGTCTCGCTTTTCAATGAGCTGGGCGAGGCACAAGAATGCTGCGTACCTGCTCAGCCTCCATGCTGCATTAATCTTGCACCATTCTATTTCAGGATGTACCGTGTAAACACGAGCATGTCTAGCTCCTCTTAGAGGCAGAACACTTCACTCTCGAAAATTCTAAATCTCATAAACCTTTCTTGTATGAAGAGCAAGATCTACCTTTAGAGACGATAGCCGCCTTCCGGAGTTATACCAAAGAGTTAATTCATCTTTTATGCAGTTAATATAAATTCTTTTTAGAGATCTGGTCTTGCAGCCTTTGCTCCTTCACTGAGTACGTAGTAAGCACCTATTATGTACTGAGCATTGTTATCCGTACACGTGAGCAAGCCGAAGAAAGCCCTGCTTCCATTAAGCTGGGATTCAAGGAACAGAGTGGGATTATATCTGGGAGGGACAGGTCCATGTATATCATCAGGGTGAGTGATGGTAGCTATAGAGAAAAATGATACCTGGGTGTTGTCTTAGAGCTGTTCAGTGGAGTTAGCAGAGAATTTCCAGAAGATTTATTTTAAATTCGATTAAAAGACAAAACCAAAAGAAAACAAATCCATGCTTGGTCCTTGACTTAGCGACGTCTGCACATGATTTGTGTGCCTTCTAATTTCAGAGCGTGATGCAGCGTCTGGAGACGGCAACGCAGTGAGAGAAGAGACCTCGGAAGGGGATGCCGCTCGCCCCTCTGTAATGAAATGGTTAAATCCACGCTGATCCTGCCTGAGATTTGCCAGGAGGAGACTCTGCGTTTGTGACCAACATTCAGCCAATATTTTAAGAGCCATCTAGAATAAAGACTATGGACATGTAATTTATGGAGATCAAGTGTGATTCAGAATGGATTCCAAAAAAAAAAAAAGGCTATATACAACCCATAAAACACATACGACTGAACATTTTTAAATATTTGTTAAATATTTAAATGCATATAAATTTATTAAATGTATGTGTGTCTGGTATTACTAAGGAACTAAACGGGCAATTGAGATGGTTTTTCAGTCGATGGGTAATTTGATGAAAGCTGAAGAAACTGTGGGTTCTTTGACCTGGCTGTGCATTCTTGTTGAGATACAGGTTGAAGAAAGAGCAAAAGAGGCTGGGGAAGGTAGTGAAACTAAGGGGTTATAACATTTGGCTCTTCCCTGTCGGAGCTTAAAATTTACTATTTCGTTTTAATTGGAAGAAATAAAATAAGACCAGAAAAGCCTTGAAGGAAGTGGGGTGTTGGAAATTCATGGGAGTCTGAGCAACTGCTTTGAATGGAAATGCTACTATTACAGTTACCTGTGTCTGACAGGGTCGGGCTGGGGTGGGTATTTATTCCCATCATGGTTAAACATTGTGGGTCTTGAGACAGATCTGGGAAAGCAGTTTTCCTCCTGGGGGACAGAACAGGGTGAAGGTGAATATTTACGTATTTTTATAAACAAATTGGTTAGTTTAAATATTTCTCCAACACCCATATTTCTCACCATCTTAGAGAAATCACCCTAGTTGGTTTGTTTAAGATGGGTTCTCAAGCAACCCGTACATGGAAAATTTGCCGTTAACAATTACATTAATATTAATAAAATTTCAGTTACTGTAAGTTTATAAAATGTTGAAAAAATTCTTAAAAATGCTACATCTTGAGTAAATTTTAAATTTGAATCGAAAAATGACTTTTTAAACAGTTTGAGAAAGGAGACTTAATTTTCATCAGAAAAGATGTTGACTTTAAGATAGAGTTTATTTTCATTTTTTTATTCCTCCACACTTGGCTGATGAGTGGGATGAACAGGGATTACACCCTTGGCACAGAAAGGACTATTGTATTAGGTGATGCTGAGAAATATTTGCAGAGGTATTTTATTTGAAGTGAAGAACTTATTTAAGAGTTATTTCATTATTTACTTATATTTTATTCTCAAATGTTGCCAACAGATTTGTGAATGTACTTGTGGGAAGAGCCTTGAATGTAAGCAGAATCAGCTGTTAGGTTTTGTTTTAAGAGAACTATTGTTCAATAAAAATAGCACAGCTGTTCCATGTTGACTGGTTCCTTTTTAAATCTTAGTCAGTGGAGAAGAGAGCTAATTCATGCCAAAGAACAAGGCCTGAGTTTCTCCTACCAGCATGAGGGGTAGAGCATTTCTGTCTTCGCCTCTGTCTTTGCTCTACTCAGACTCTGACCATTGCATCCATTTTACTGTTTTATTTGTTTCTATTTTTAAAGAACCTCTGTCTATTTTTATCTGCGTCTATGAAAACAACAACAACAACAACAAAAAGCCCATTTTTGTTTGTTAAGTTAGCTATAGAGTTAAGGCTTGGAACAGTAGCATCAAGGTCGCTGAATGACGGCTCTTTTACAGTCATTCAGATACCAAACTCAGCACATGCCTTGGTTTGGTTTTTGTTCCTTCTAAGAAGGTAGAAAAATTTTCCATGACAGCCATTGTATCTGATTCCAGTTCGGTGAGGAAATCCCAGATAGTTGTTTTCATCTGCCAGTTGGCTGACTGAAGGTTCCAGATCTGTGAATTCCAACCCATTTTCACTTTTCTCAGTTGATACATCTGCTTGTGTTCTTACTCATAGACTATTTCATTTTCATTTATTTCCTAACGCTTTTGAAAGTAGATGTGACTTTTAAAACGAGGACAAAGGCAGATCTTTCAGTACCTTGGGAGAAAGAGAGGAACCTCCACATTGAAGCTTGCAAGTACCAGCCCCAAGAACTCACATGGCACCTGTGAATGAGCCTTGTGAAAAGGTTACAGAAGCACTGGAAATGAATTGATATAGTACTAGGGAGATAACATCTGCATGTTTTAAAAATCCAGTTTATTTCATTTATTTTTTTCAAGTAGTAGAGATTAGGTGTGAGTTAGATACAAAGTTATATTTTTAAAAGATACTTCTATTCTTGGTAAGTTTAATTAAAAAAAAAACAAACAGTGAAAAATCGACACTGTCACCCACATCGGTAAAGTTTCTGACAGTCTCTTAGCGCCTGACAGTTTTCTGAGACTCTGAGACTCTGCCTATTGGTGTGCAAAGTGATGTCGAGAACGAGAAACCTAAGAAAAGATGGTGAATTGGACATGCAGCGTTTTCCGTGGCAGCCCAACTTCGCCTCCCAGACACTGAGAACATCACCAGCGCAAGCAATAATTTTAGGACAGCTCTGACGTTAGCCTGCCTAGACTGTCATTTCTTTTAAGAGGCAATTTGGAAAGTCTTCTGTTTCTACTCTGTTTTATTCTTCCTTTTAGGTGGACATTTAGATGGAGGTAAAGGATCCACAAATGCAAGGCGTTTCATTGCCCTAGTCCTTTGCCTAACACCCCACTTCAAAAGGGTGTGTTACAATGAGACTATGAAATGCTAGCGTCTCTGAGATCTTCTGGAGATGTCAGTGACCACATGTCACTGATTCAGTCAGATTTGAGTTAGGGCCCAAGAATGTTCCATTTGAATCACTCCCCGGTAATTCAATATATGAACCATACTGTGAGAATGACTGACGTAGGAACATATAGTTGCGTAGAGATGAAATGAGCTATAACTCAAGCCAATCATGTCAATCTTATAAAGAATTGGTTGCCGTATTTTCTAGGCAGATGGTATACCTAGTTTTTGTTTTGTTTTGTTTTGTTTTGATCTCAAGGCACACTCTCACTACATAGCTCTGACCATCCTGGGGATCTCTATGTATGCTAGGCTGGCCTCCAACGGGCAGAGAGCCTATTGCCTCTGCCTTCAGTGCTGAGACTAGAGGAAGCATGAGCCACTACCTCTGGCAAGATATACCCATTTTTAATGTCTGTTTTGTTTTTGTTTGGTTGTTTTTTTACTATTTAAAAAAGGGGATGAAAAAAATGGTCCAGGTAATTTTAAACTCTGGGAGTTGGTTGCCATGGTAGATGTCTGTAATCCCAGCACCAAAGAGGTTGAGGCAGGAGGATTTCAAGATTGAGGCACTGTCTCAAAAAATAAACAAGCAAATGAAAACAAAAATAGTTGGGGACTTTGTAAAGACAGATAGAAGATCATAAAAGGAGGACGGAGACTCAGGAAGGCAAAGATAGTGTGTTCTTTTGGAAAGAAAGACATTGAAGAAAAATGACCAGTGATGTTCTGTGCCCCCCCCCCCGAAACTGTAAAGGTTTCTGGTGATCATGGAGGGGAAGGGATGGAGGCCTGTCTGAATGGTGTGAGAACTGCATGACAGATGAGCACTTTTCCCAGATGGCTGTCTGAGTAGGTCAGAAGGCAGCAAGCTTACATCAGGATGGAAAACTTGGTGCTGTTTCTTTCTTTCTGTACCACCCACTCACTCACAGAAAGCTGGTGTTCTGTGTGCAGGATTTTTGATGAGAAAGGTAGATGTTGGCTCGTGTGAACTCTGGACAGTGTGAAACCAGAGTGGTGATTTCAGTGAGATAATTCAGCGGGGTCTGCCAAACCGCACTGCTGCTGCTCTGGGTGTTCGGGGCTGCGTGACTGTTATGGCTCTTGGAGGGCTGTCCAGGAGGATCGTCACCAGTCTGAGGTCAGTGTGGGCTACGTAGGAAGACTCTGTCCCGAGCAAGCGAGCAAGCGAGCAAACAAACAAAAAGTAAGAAGTCAAAAGATCATTGTTATTGTGTTTGTTGACAAAGCTTGTGTTAGCACGCCATAGGGGTAATTAAATTTTGTGCCAAAAAAAAAAAAAATCTGTGCATGGATCAGTCAAGAGACCAGTGATGTTTATTTCATTTGTTGTATCTTTATGTATTTCTAAAAAATTCTAGAGGTATTTTTTTTAATTGGGAAAAAGAATAAGGTTATCTCTATTTTCGGTTATTAAAAATCTGATCCTTGAAGAGTTTTGAGATGTATTTTATCACCTAGCACTTGACTGGGAAAACAGGACTCTTCAGGTCAAGTGAATCAGTATGTTGGTATACACTGCTGGAGCAGATAGTGTCTCAACAGCTTGGGAGTCCTCAGGAAGTACAAATAAAGGTCTCTGGAGCACAGTGCACTTTAAAATGACAATCCACCTTCTGTACCTATCCTATCTGCTTCAAGCAGGTGGTTCAGGCCATCAGGGTTTTAAAAGTATTTCCTGACACCTGTGGAGTTGGTAAATATTTCCTGTTTTTGTTGTGTCTAGAGAAAACAGGAATTAACAACTTGGAAGTACTCATCAAACACCCATTGTGGGTGACCTCTGCGTGGCCAGATTTCAGTGTGAGACGCTCATTTTCTTAAAATCTAGCCTAATGATTTCTCTTCAGAGAAAAGCCATTCTTAGACTAATCTGTTGAGCTGAATGGTGGAATAGAAGGTTTATCTGTGGGGTAGTGGCCTCTATCCACGTGGGGAATCTAGCTAGAAGGTCAATTATAAACCTTCCTTAGTAAGCATGCCTGATGGAGCTAGCAAGCAATAGGCATCCTGCCTGTGACTCTGAGCTGACCACATAGTTAGCACGTTTTAAAAAAGATAACTAGCATCTCAGAGTTCTTCAGGAGGACTGGAAAGTTTGCAGCAGTGAGTCAGGGCTAATCCACTGTCTCATTTGGTAACTGTTGACCTCAGGTGAGCTGTTCAACCTTCACCCCCCTCCACGTCCTCTGTCAGTGTATCAATAATGTCCACACACGCTCTAGACAATCCATCGACTCCTGCTCCTGCCTGTGCCTGCCCTAATTCAAACATCCCAGTGGTTGGATGACATTTGTATTATTATCAAAACCAGTCTCGTTATCTCTCAAGTTCAGTTTACTCATTGTTGCAAGACTGAAACGTTTAAGGTGTCTCACACATTCCATTTCCAATAAATAACTTCAGAACAAAATTAGAGCTCTCCATTAAACGTTAATAGCCCTGAGTCGAAAT